TTGTAATGACCGGCCAAAGGGCCTAACCACCAATTCGCCGGGGGCCATGTAAGGTTGTAGCAGGAAGTAAGCAGTGAACAGAACACCTACAAACAGAATCATGAATGTCTCAAAATTTAATTAGCGATAAAGATTTGAGTTTCAGTCTTCATGACAGTACATGTATGTATTAATTAAAAGTGAATTGAGAAAGGTTTAATGGTGAATATTACTGATGAAATTAAAAGATTTATTGTTAAAGACAGTCTCCTCCTTTGCAAGCAACAGAAAAGCCAAATGGGCAAGAAAGGTTCACGCGTGCTCTGAGGGCAACAAAAATTCTCAAAGTAGAGAATCTTTGCGGCAAACTGCTCAATTCACCCAGTTTGGAGACGTCACCGATGAGCGCGCTATACGAAGGCGCGCATCGTGACAGCACTGCTGGTAACAACAACGTTGTGAGCCAGCGAGATAAACTGAGTTAGGAACGAGTTTCTGGGGTGTGACAACACATCGGCTAGCCCTTATTGAATTGTCTCTTCTGTCGTATTTTTATGGGGAGAGCGCCATTTTAATATGGATAAGTATTAATTTGGATTTTCTTGAAACTGAATAAGAAAGTAACAATTATCAGCACCGAATCTCTTGTCCACAAGAGCTGACTAAAACTGGCCGGCCCCGCCTGTCTTGCCTAGTTAACCAACCGCCCCTGAGCACGATATCTGCTGAGCTAACCTAGCGACCCTCTTTGTTTTGACCGAGATCAAGTTAGACAACAAAGTAAATCTTTCGCTACGACAGTAGCCATGGGTGCTACAATTTCCAAACTAGTTTTTATGTTTTCGTTTAATCCCATTGACAACACTATTAGGTTGTTTAAGCGGAGGAAGATCTAGACCAAGATAATATACATGTATTGTTTATATCATGGCCGAAAGATGTGGCCCCGAAAACGCACGCTGACGTTGACTTTGTGACAAGTTGATCCGCTGATTTCTTTGAAGTTTCTATCGAACAAATTAAAGATCATCTAAGTCAAAGGCAAACAACTGCTGGGGTTTTGCAACATGGAATCGAGGAGAGAGAGAGGGGGGGGGGGGCGGGGGCGGGGGCTCTCTTTACCTTCTAAATCTTACATTCAACACAAAAGAAAAACAAAACAAAAACAAATAAACCAGCAGCTTAAGTAGGACAAAACATGAGAGTACATAACAAGATAGTTCACTCTTCTCATTGAGCCAGTTAAAAAAGCGTCCTCAAAGTCCGGTGGCGCCCTCTTCGAAAAAGCGCACCCTTTGCGAACAGAGTTACCCTACTTGTGTGAACAGAGTTACCCTACTTGTGTGAACAGAGTTGTCCTACTTGTGCGAACAGAGTTACCCTACTTGTGTGAACAGAGTTACCCTACTTGTGCGAACAGAGTTACCCTACTTGTGTGAACAGAGTTACCCTACTTGTGTGAACAGAGTTGTCCTACTTGTGGGAAAAAAAATCAAAGTGAAACTAACAAGTTTTTGAATGAATTAGAATTCTAATTTCGGAAGAACCCTTTTTTTTAATGGTTACGCTGACAAAAAAACCTCTTCCGGTGGAAGAGGAAGAGGCGACTGTTTTCTTCTTTAGTTTGACTTTAGAATGACAGGCGAGAGGTCATTAAAATAAAATAAAAAAACCCTAAAACGCTGCACTGAACGAACCCGAACAGCTGGTGAACAGCAGTTGATCTGTGCTCGCAAGAGGGTGCTATTCCTATTCTGCTTCTGGAGAAAAGAAAGAGAGCTTCAAAACAAAGACTTTAGCGCCATCTAAAGCAAAGAGCAGACTTCCGCGGACACTTTTTTGGCTGAATGAACCATCTTGTTATGTACATGTACTATCTTTGGTTGAACTACTCACGCCACATTCAGCAGCAAGCTCTCGTGTTTCGCACCAAAACCGTGATGGAACGTCACAGGATTTTCCCCATGCGGCACAGCACGACACACTCAACAGAGCGAGAAGAAAGATGCTCGACGCCATTTTGCGCTCTGACGGAAAAAAAGTAGATCAGGTGACCCGAGAAGGAAGGTTATTTCGGAGTGACTGCCAAAAGTTTCGAACGATTTATATAGCGCTGTAAACCCTGTATCTATGACCCCTTTGCTGCACTTTGGAAAGATATCGTCGGGTTATAGTCCACTTTCTGAATAAAAACATGATCGTTGTTTTGTTTTTTTATCTTGAGAACGAACAGGATAGGAAGAGTCCTAGATCTGATTGCATTAATGATTTTCAAATGTTACTTTCTTTTTTTACAGGACTCCTGTCACGAGGCCTTAATTTTGATTAGTTTATACAAGGTGCACGCACAGTAAGTGGAGTAGGAAGCTTAGATGGATAAACGGTATTTAGACCAACGAACCAGTGATTGTGAGATTGTGGGTTCGGGTATTCAACGCACAACACGAGTCTACTCTGTTTCCTTTCGTTTATATGGCCCCTTTTAAGCACAAGGTGGCTATCCCGAATGCAAAAAAATGTTCTTTTTCAGAAAATCGAAGTAAAGTGTTTGCTCCTTATTCGCTGTCTTTAAAAGACAAGGAGAATTTTCTCTATAACCAAACAAATATAACATCAACGAAACCAAACTTCTCCTATAGGCAGAACGGCAATGGCCCCTTGTGGTACAGGTCAAGATTTCTGGAAACCCCCGAAATCTGGGTTAGCCCGCTTGTCCTTAAAAGCGACCATATATGTTTTATAAAGGTTTTGAACAAACATAGTTTTGCGTATCTTGCATACACACACGCACGTAACACACACACACACACACACACACACACACACACAAACACACACACACAAACACACACACACACGCACACACATACACACACCCACACACAAACACAAATACACACACAAACAAACACATACACACACGCGCGCAAAAAAATTGCCGATAGAACTTTGTAATGCTAAGGTAACGAGCTGCCTGGGTAAGTTTAAAAAAAGTAGACGCATTAGATATTCTAGACACAGACCCGTTCTACGAACGGTGATATAGTGACAGGAAAGCCCAAGATAAAATGTTTGTACATGTACCTAATTCATTGCCGTAGGACCTCTGTGTAGACAACATTGCTGGTATATGCGCCATCTGAAACTCCGTCCTGGGCAGCAGGTCTGTTTGCATGTATCCTAATAGATTCCCTGGACCCAACACGACTCTTTGCGACACATAATCGTCCATGGGAAAAAATCGCCCTGCAAACAGATGTTTATTGAACCAGTTCTCTCTTTGGGTGGCGTTTTGAAGCAAGGGCTGGGGGACTCCCGTTCTGACATTAGCACCAGTGGCCGACATCAATCATAACTGCTGGAGAAAGGAAAAAAAACCCCAAAAAACATACAAACAAATAAACAAACAAGCAAGCAAACAAACAAACAAAAAAATCGCTCCTTGTATTTCTCGTGCAAATCATAGCTGACTTCTAAATATAACTTTACAAAACGGAAAGAGAGTGAACCCCGGATAAAAGTAGACACAGTAGACATTATATAACTACACGTATAAACAATAACTATACTCAACATTGAGGGGAACATAGTGCTACATGTATTCACTTGTAAGTTCTTGTGACGAGTCAGATGACTTTCAATATTATCAGCAGCATGACTGTGATATCCGGTATCTATCAAGACTAACTGAAGTATGCCGGCACGTGCACTGATGGGCTTAGATCTAAGCTTTCTCTCGTGCAGTCACTTGACTGGCCTTATCGATGATATATTATGCTTTGGCCTGGTTCATCATGAGCTGCGGCGTGGGCCAGGGAAATGATTGTTCGCACACACACTTCTTAGACAGGTCTCAAGAGAGAATTATTATCGGGACATCATCGGTGTCCATGGTCCTTATCACATGTAGTAATTATTTGATCACCGTCCAATGTCTACAATAATACAAGAAGAGGAAGTGTTGGCCGCTCGGTTCCAACCAGAAAGCTGACTGTTGTCCGAACCATCGTTTTCCCGGCCACCCTTCTGGTTAGAACAGAGCGTTACACCCTTGCGCCACGGTGAGGCCCGATACTTCCGACTTCCACAAGTCTTCTTCCCACCTCATCTCTGGCTGGGCTACGTCCAGTTCTTCCCAAATGTACTTAAGTATTTTTTCATTTGAAAAACTAATGAAAATTACTTTTCAAAAAAAGAATATCTTTAAATGCAAGTAATAAAAAAAATATTGTTTGGGCAAGACTAGGATAAATATACTAAAATACTCTCTTGTCAAATAATTTAACAGCATTGAAAAAGTTTTTGGTAGATCTTTTTCAAACGAAATGTAAAATTATAACATTTTTGCAGTAGAAATATATTTTAATGATTATTTCCCTTATAAATAATTTTTAAAAAAGAAATATTGGCGTTTTCCCTCCCTTGCTGGAGCTCCGGGGTTTCCCGAATGAAGTCTTCCTAACTCATAGACTTGAAGTAGGCCTGCAATTATTATTATTATTATTTTTATTATTATTATTATTATTATTATTATTATTATTATTATTATTATTATTATTATTATTATTATTATTATTATTATTATTATTATTATTATCCTAGATCTTTAGGTCATTCCCAAAGGGGGGATATTGAAATATTTCTATGCACAGTAGAATTGTTTAATGGGCTGATTTATCAATGTCATGCTCATACTGTGGGAGAACAGAGTAAGCCTGATTCCGCGTTTGGACTTCTCTGTTGACATCCACCCCTTGGCGCTCACATGACCTTATGCAGTTGCGAGCGCCGTAAAACCTTACTACAACAAACAATGTGGCGCACATTTGTAGTGTCTCTTCATAAAGTCGCTACTGTAATACATATTAGTTACCCTGTTCTTTATACGTATCTGTTTCAAAGCAATACTGTTCAGACTGAATCTGTGAACAAATCTGAATAAAGCAAACATATATTCAACACTATAATATCTCTAACCTTGTTGAAGTCATTAGTCTATTAAAGCCGGAATTCAACTCCACTACTGGCTTTTCAAGTTAATCAATTTCCTTCACGCATGGAGCTATTTCTACGTCCAAAGCGATTCGATGCAGATCCAAACTCAGCAAATGCGACCAAGCTGCCAAACGATGGGACCACTCGAAAGCTTTACATTATCATCATCATTTACAACAACAACAACTTCTGCTTGATTTCCCAAAATCAAATTAGAAATAATAAACAAGTACAAAACAAAAACGATTGAGATTATTGTTTAATCGTTGTGGATTCTTGATTTAACGGGTCTTTCGTCAACTCTGACACAGACAGCTTACAGAAGGGTTTGGTGACTATTTGTCAAGGAGTTGTATTCCGACAGAGACCCGTTACAAAATCCCCCCCCCCCTTCCACACAACAAATCCATAGCTCTATTCCCCATACCCCGCTAATTCTGTAACACAAGCTGGACATTAAATTACATGGGTGGTTGGAGGGTGCTCTGGTGTGGTTTGCTTCTTCTTTCCTATCTATCGTTTTTATCTCCTCTCCTTCTTTTTTGTGTTTGTTACTCTCTTGTATCACCTATAATATATGTTTTCGGCACTTATATGACCTTATTGTGTTGCAAGAGCCGTAAAACACTTACTAAAAAATCACACACAAAGATCATGTGGATCTGTGGTTTTGCCACACAGGACAACAGAAAGTGTTGCTACATGATGTATCAGCCGTGCGGGCGAGAGGCTTGGCGTTGAGGTGAGCAGACGTCCCGCGGAGCACCAGGCTGTAACTGTCGTTACGTAATCCCCAGACCCAGGTGTAGCTTTTCCCACACCACAGAGGAGCTACTGAAATCTTCTGCAGTCAGTTTTGCCTTCCTACATCTCCCCTTTATCATATCATCTCTCCTGTTTTGCATACTTGAACTCGAGGGTGACTGTTTTTTCAATGTAGGTGTTTTTACACCTCCAGTGACACAATCTAAGTAATTAAGGAGACGGTCTTCCGACCCTTCCTGTTAAGCCAAACATGACTGAGAGGGATCCAACATCCCGGCAGAAAGAGCGAAATACTCGATAAAAATGTAAATGTAGTTCTCACTATGGAATCGACCTCGGGTCTCCTGTATGCGACAGTGAAGCGCCTCACCGCTGCTACACCATAGACGCCGGTCTTTCGAGGATGAGCCATGGGGCATATGAGGAAAACTGACTGACAAGAGAACTACGTACATCTACTAGCCTTTTGTCCAGGGCTGTCATCTCCACTCCTGTCCAGCTGTTTCACTGATAGAGATCGTAATCAGTGATTGCAATTTTCAAAGCCAACTGCGGATGATCATGTCAGATATTAACCAAGTGATATCTTCGTTTTCGTAAGAGTTTTACAGCGCTTGCAACACAATAAGGTCATATAAGTGCCGAAGAATAGATGTGTTGCAAGAGAGTAACATACATAAAAATGAAGGAGGAGAGATATGGACGATAGATGTTTGATAGGAAAGAAGGAGCAAACCAACCACCCACCGTTATTTTCAAAACCGGTACTTTCAAATTGTTGTAGAATTTTGTGAGCTAAGGCTGACTCCATTGTCTCAGCCACATTTAAGACTTAAAACAAAGTTGGGGGGGGGGGGGGGGGGCAGAAAACAGTACTTATTAGGTCGAGTAAATTTTAAATAGAGAGCTGAAATTTATTTTTACTTGGTATTCAGTTTTAGTTTTCAGGAAATTCATTAACCCAGACTTGGGGGAGATTTTAAAAAACCCACAGAATAAATAAAGGAAAAAATATCCTCGTTTTTTTGCCCGGGAACTTGAGTGTGTGAGTGAGTGAGTGAGTGAGTGAGTGTGTGTGTGTGTGTGTGTGTGTGTGTGTGTGTGTGTGTGTGTGTGTGTGTGTGTGTGTGTGTGTGTGCGTGTGGGGGGTTGGGGGTATGGCATATACGCCAGATACAATACCCCACACCAAGCTGTTTTTCCCCCTCTGAATTTATAATGATCATGAATATTTCAGTTTTAACTCCACATCGACACAATCTAGGCCACATGGGATCCGTGTATGTCAGTTTGAGAAATATAACAGACAGACAGTACAGAAGACAAGTAACAACGAAACATAAACAGACAGACAGGACACAAGACAAATAACAGAGAAACACAACAGACAGACAGGACACAAGACAACTAACAAAGAAACATAACACAGACAGGACAAAAGACAAGTTATTGGGAGACAGACACAGACAGGATAGAAGACAAGTAACAGAAAAACGAAACTGACAGACAAGACAAAAGACAAGTAACATAGAAACCTAACAAACAGACAGGATGGAATACTGGCCATAGGGAAAGATAACAATAACAGACAATACAGGAGCAACAAGGTTCTTGTTTGTTTGAGTACAGAGAAGCACATAGATACAGCAACAGCCATGTAGTGATGGGGGAAGTAGAAAGACAAGAATAAAAAACAATAGAGGAAATTAAAAAAGACGATCAATCCAATGGCACACTCCAACCATCTGCCGAAAGAGTCTAGGACATAGGACAAGAGAAAAACTCACACAAGCAAAAACACAATGAACCACTTGTTGTTGGTTTTGGTGAAGAATCCATCGTTTATTGAAAGATATATGTACAGCATAGCAATAAAAATAAATAAATTATATTTCATCATACAACTTTCTTACACTATTAAAATCATTTTTTTTCCGCCGGGTGCCTATTTATTAACTACTGATTTAATAGAAAATAAAAGTGTGGACAAAACAGTGGTACAGGTCTGTAGATGGATTTTCAGAAGGACACAATTACGAATACAAGTATAGGTAGTCACAAATATACTCTTTATCATCAACTTAGAACCAAGATGTATTTTATAAATTTGACTTACTAATACATGTATGTTATCTACAAAAATCTTCCTGCACGAACGTTCAGTAATGCATAATATAAATAAGTCGTAGTTTAGAAAGTGGTGGTAGTGTATGCCTGTTGTTGAAACAAGGCTGCGTTACATGTTACATGTTATAGATTGCATAATGATTAACTACTATAATTTACGAAAGTACATTAACTGTTTTTTCCATGAGATGTTAGATCCAAGATGTAGATTTGAACTGAAAATATTGTGTACTATCAGCAGTGAATAGTTTTGATGAGCAAAAATCGAACAGTTTTGGAGATACAAATAAGTTATTTCAAAGGCAGGCCCTGCAGTGTACCAGTGCTCAAGTGCACCCTTATGATGTAGCAATTGCGCCCTTGTGGGTGGGACAATAAACTATTTATAGTCTGTCTGTCTGCTCTCTCGAGCTGAAAGTCAAGTTCCCAGGTTCCGGTCATCGTTCAGTTGTCAGAAGCTTTGTCAATGCCCGACCATTGTTTGTGGTTGTTGGAGGGTCATCAGAACGCGTTGGAAAGCTTGGTCAGTGGGAAAAAGAGTCTCACTGTTGAAACAATAGACATACAACAAAATCAGTAACGCAGAAGGAGATAAACACTGTTCAATAATAATATTGATAACAATGATACTGATAATATTATTATGATGAAGAAAGCAACATCAACAACAGCAACAACAAGAAATCATGTAATAAGAAGAAGAAGAAGAAGAAGAAGAAGAAGAAGAAGAAGAAGAAGAAGAAGAATTATAGAGAGCATTCCAACAAACTCATAAGTCATATGACGTAAGGTTTTATAACTTGTTCTTGTGTGCAAAACAGATCTAACAGCAAAACAATCGTATTCTAACACCAAGCTTAGCTGACAGGAGAGCTCACCTTGTCTTCCTGAGTGTGACCACACTGTCGTTGTTACAGAGCTGGTCAGTTGTCTCAATCTTGCACTCGGTGCACAAGTATTTGAGCTGTTAGAAACACACAAAAAAGATTGTTGAATGTTCTTTCTGTACTGTCTAGGTAATAAATCCTGTTTAATAATCTGAAAACAACAACGAATTAAAGAATAGGATTAGAAATAAATAGATAGATAGATAGATAGATAGATAGATAGATAGATAGATAGATAGATAGATAGAGATCAACATCATCAAAAACAACAACAATGACATGCACCACTACCACCCACCACCACCAACGACAAGAGCTGTACAGCAGGCAGAGATGACGATAAGCAAGAAATAGACACCACCTTAAAATCACAATTAATTCCTACAGCAACAACAAGCTCACATATATTATTATTGTTTCATGAACGACATTCTGTGCTTGGTGGTAAGCACACGGAACAGTACTGTAATATCAGAGGGGGCCTTGGTTTGAATCCATGACAAAGACACGCTCATAAAAAGACCTGCATAAAGAGTCCGTCATCAATTCTAATTCTAAGTCCTATATGCACGACGGTTAGAAGTTCCAGCCTTAATTAGACAGAAAGTTTAATAAATAGGCAGCACTGAAAAGATAAGACCCTAACCTAGGTTATCTTATCTAAGAAAGCCTAAGCCCAAACCCATAATTTGACGTAATTACTTACAACAAGTCGCTCTTCCAGGGAAAATCTGTTGGTGTAAAATTCCTCCTGAAAGTTGGCCACGAAGGCGCTGACCAGAGAAAACACTGGAGCAGACACAGCTTGGACCTGGAAGTGGGAAGTATACATCAGGTTGTGGCTGTATAAGTAAATCATATAATCTAGGGAAAAAGAGAAACTTGTCAATACCATTGACATGTAGAGTCTGTTTCTAAACCTTGCTACAACCATTCTTTATTGAAGCAGTACAACCCTCACTAATTACTGCAAGACTCCCCCCCACCCCCCACTTTTCACACAAACAACCCAGCCACACCTTACGGAGCTCAGCTCACAAAAAAGATAGACTCTGCCCCCAAACAAATTGTGTACAATAAAGTGAAATTTGATTAGCTTTAATTGCTGAGAGATAGTTTACAAATTACGTTAAGTCTACTGTTGGAAGAGAGAGAGAGAGAGAGAGAGAGAGAGAGAGAGAGAGAGAGAGAGAGAGAGAGAGAGAGAGAGAGAGAGAGAGAGAGAGAGAGAGAGAGAGAGAGAGGCAGATACAGAGACAGAGACAGACAGAGACAGACAGAGACAGAGACAAACAGAGACAGACAAAGACAGAGACAGAGAGACAGTATAGAAATCCAACTCACCTTCACCCAGTCCACAGTTCCGATATCCACCGTCCCATAATGCAGCAAGTTGTCTCTCTTTTCTCTCAGCGCCTGTTCACGAAGGCGAAACCACAACTGAGTTTCCATCGGCATCTGGGACACGTGATCATAACCACCACTGACGTCACCAACATTCCTCGTCTGACTACTTGAGAAGGGGCGTAATCCGAAACCGCTGACACTGGACTCCGCACCATTGGGTGACGGTTCAGTTTCCATTCTCCGTCTTTTACATGACGGCTGGCAGTCTGCTGGTTCTGGAGCCATGTTTTCTGCCAGCTGGTGACCAATGTCGCTGAATGAAGGGACGGGGACGGAGTGAGCTGACCAGCCAGCAGGATTGATCCATGGTACGGGTGGCGTCAGTTGAACTCTGAAGTGATTTTGCTTCAGCGGTGAGGTCGTCATGTTTTGTGACATGGTGAAACTTCTGGGCTGTGCTTGTACGATTCCTGACCCATGATGAAAGAAAGAAAGAAAAAAAAAAGAAGATGTGATTATTATTTAACTGATTCATGGTATGGAGTAGATCTGGCCCACCATTTGTTATAACTTGTACATTGTGTGATTTATGGTATGGAGTAGAACAGGCTTGTCCTTTGTTACAACTTGTATATTGTGCATAAAAGCGTCCAATAATGGTGTCTCCATGTCTATTCATTTTTTTGAGAAACTTCCTTAATTTGTCTTTTCCAAATTGTTTTTATATGCGAGCAGCCTTTGCGGGCTTTCTTAGCAGTTTCCCAAGAAACCACATGTCTATTGCTTCTTTTATATTTTGACTGTTTTTCGGTGATTATACAGTATTTACAGTCATAATATAGAAGGGTCGATATGATACGTATGTTGGTGGTCATTGAGATGTTTCTATTGTTCAAGATTCGGTTCCTTTTTTTAAAACGGTCTTCCGCCATTGCAATAATACTAGCAACAAGTTTTTCTTGGCAAAATGACTTTGCGTAAAATGAACTAGCCAAAACGGCCGCTATATCAAAACTCTATCAACCGACAGGAAAAAAAAATCAAATTAAAACGAAGATGGCAACCCAGATCTCTCATCTCACGAGGTGTTCTCATTAATCCTATTGTGTCGGCCCCATGGGCTGTGGACGAGCCGTACTACCTCATTCACATTTCGTTAATGTTTGTCTCTCCAATGAATGAAACGATTATGGTGCGTAGTCCCTCCCACTGTTTACCCAAGTTCACCAGTCGAGAGCAAAATTTTCAATCCTGGTTAGGGAGGCGTGTATACTGTCATAATCTCCGCCCTCAACCTCCCCCAACAAAGGTACGAACCTCTGCCATACACAAACACAAACCACAAGTGAGGTGAGTGACATTACCACAACAACAAGCGGACTGGTCATCCCTCCAGGCGTTCCGACCCTCCACCCCTCAGCGAGCGCTGTCAAATGACGGTTGAAGTTTAAATCTTGAATCTTTGGTTTAACAATACTATATTTTAGGAAGTGAACTCCGCCCTTATTGCTCATTGGCGTGGGTTTGACGGCCATCTTTGTCCGTTGACACATCGGTGACATGATCTTTCTACATTTGTTTTTCTTTTATATTGTTCGTACGCCTTGTAGTGGAGACTCGTTGTTTTCTCCACTTCACTCCGTCTTCCTCACCTGACACATTAAGTTCTATTTTACCCTTGCACTACTCTTGTCTTTCTTGTCTGATACACTAGGTAAAATTTAACACTTACTACAGTCGCAAAACCCTCCTTTCCGCTCCACCCCCCCCCCTTCCTCCCCCTCCCCCCCCAAAAAAAAATGGACCGTACGACAGTCTTAAGCTTGTGATTTCAGAACGTAATTGATTCCTTGAGATTTAAGCTTGACAGACTTTTCTTTTCGAGCACAATTTTTATTTACCAACGTCATATATTGATGTGAAAGGGCACTTTCCTCAGGTACTCGTGGCTTTTCTTTTCTTTCTTTTTTTTTGCTCGTCCAGAAGTAGATAGTTAACATATTTACTGGAGATTTTTGGAATATTTTATAGTTTTTATTCTTCTTTTGTTGGTTCAAACAAGACACACTTCATTTTGAACACATGATAATAGCTTATTCCCAAATCCCAAAAATTTCACACAAGCAGGGAACCACACAGAAAGAAAAAAAATTCACTCCCTCTTATACCTTTAAAATACAAAGTATAACGACATGACATGAGTCACATTGTAAGTCATCAGACTCTTTTTACTCAATAAATAATTTTGAACAAAGACAAAGATACAACTTATTAATTCTAGATCCTGAACAATTTACTTCTTTGCTATATAATTAAGACAAATTGAAACAAAATTAGTGCAAAACGCTGAACAGAAATCTATGCAGGGAGTCAAAAGCTAACTGTAAAGAACATAATGATTTGGAAGGGCTATAGTACTAGCTTTTCTTTATTATACAGAGGGGAACAGGATGATAAAGTAGTTGATACGTGTCAATGTATTATGGTGGGAAAACATCATGTAGCGTCACAATCGCTGACCAAAGAGTGTACAGTTGAGGCGAAAGTTTCACTGAAACCTTTAGCTTTACATAACAGCAGTCTAGACTCACCTGGCGTGCCCAGTTTGCAACTAAGAAACGTTACCACAAGCTTTCTAGACCTCCTACCCTCTCCCAAAACAAACACCCTGAACTACCCATTTCTTTGTATAGAATGTTTTTTTTAAAGATAAGTGACGGATGCTCTGGTGTGGTTTGTTCCTTCTTTTCTCTCGAACACAATATATTTCCTAATCAGATACATTTATTGTAAACGTATATTATCTATCCTCATTCTTTGTGTTGTCCTTGCTACTCTTTTGACATACCTCTAATCTTCGGTTTGTATATAACCTTATTGTGTTGCACATGTCGTTAAACCCTTACTAAATCCAAATGAAGAAAATGAGAAGATACACACACATATATATATATATATATATAATGTATATATAAAGAGAGTAAGAGAGAGAGAAAGAGAGAGAGAGAGAGAGAGAGAGAGAGAGAGTGAGAGAAAGAGAGAGAGAAAGAGAGAGAGAAGAAGAAGGGGGGGGGGCGATGTGAGAAGGATAGAGAAAGAGAGACACAAAGAGAGTATTTTGAGACAGAGAGAGAGGGGGGAGAAAGAAGAAGAAGAAGAAGAGGAGAGTTTCCACCAACCGGCGTTAAATTTGCAGAAGAACTATTCATCAATGACACTCACGTTTCAGTAGTCGCTGTCAGTGCTGGATACTCTCGTGATCTCTCCCGGAGTTCTTGAACAAAGGGGCTTTGATGAAACCACGAGGTTATGTGATGTCAGTTGTGGGTGAGCAGCAGAAGGTTCTATGACGTCAGTTGTGGATAAGCAGCGAGGAACACCACACAAAAGGTCTTTCTACCGTATACCTTAACCACCGAAATAGAAAGTCACGGAGGGTACCAAACACGTGTTACACAATAAAGGATGAAACAATCTCCTGAATTAATATCGTGAAGGTCTATCGTGTAGTTCACATGAAACCACTGGAAACAAATCCTTTTGGAAAATCTTTTTGCGACAATGTCTACAAAAACTTGAAGAAATGAGACGTGATGTTATCGACACACATTCACATACGCATACTTCACCAAACTAGCGTCCGCTCAGGGGATGAACAAAAGCAACATGAACTGACTCTCCAGTCAAACTGAGGCAGACTGGTCAGCTGACAAAGATGGTCGTCAAACCCACGCCAACGAGTCACAAGGGCGGAGTCGCTTCCTTTTTTGGTGTTATTGAACAAAAGATTTGAGATTTAAGCTCCGTGCCGTCATGTGACAGCGCTCGCTGGAGCGTGGAGGGTTGGAATGCCTGGAGGGATGACCAGTCCTCTTGTTGTTGTAGTGGTGACGTCATGGACACGTGTTGGTGATTGGCCATGCTGATGGGGAAAATAAGCAAAGGGTGACCGATTCTTAAATAATACAAAATAAAATAAATGGCAGATAGATCTACTAACAGTATTAGAAAATAACAATAATAATAGCAATAATAACAACAGCATAATAATAATAAAAAATAACAATTATAACAACAATAACAACAATACTACTACTACTACTACTACTACTACTACTACTACTACTACTACTACTACTACTACTACTACTACTACTACTACTACTACTACAATAATAATAATAATAATAATAATAATAATAATAATAATAATAATAATAATAATAATAATAATAATAATAATAATAATAATAATAATAATAATAATAATAATAATAATAATAAATAATAATAATAACAACTCTGTTACGATTTCTGTATGATTGTATCAAACACGTGTGGATCTCTTATTCGTTGGCCGATAAGGCAGATTCTTTGTTCATGAGAGTCGCACAAGACGGACAGGGGTGCAAAAGGGGGGGGGGGGGGGGGGTTCACGCGG